GCGAGATTTTGAAACTCCGCATGGTGGCAAGAAACCTGAACCAGAGCCCAAGGGACGCGATCCTCAAGCAAACGGTCTAGGGTTTAGGGTTTGGGGGTGAGGGCTCTAAGCCCTAAAAATGGCCCTGGCATCAACTTATTGCCACAGGCTGCAAACGAAGCTCTTGTTTGCAAGCAGGGCGCTTCTGTGTGGCAAGCTTGGCACAGCTTCCGAGTATAGAGGCTCCTTTGTTCGGCTCCGGCTGCAATAGACAGCAAAGCTTCTTGACATGCTGAGTTGTCGAACTGCGGCGGCGGCGGTGGCGCGTGCTTTCATGGCGGATGTCGCCGGAACCCCCGTTACGGCCTAAACCCTAAACTGCCGCAACCCCCGTTAGGGCCAGCGTGGAAAGTCTTCGGACTCGGAGGGGCTCCCTGAAAAGCTCTAGATCCGAAGCTCGAGCCCTGAACTCGCACAGCGTCGCACTTCTGCAAGGCACCCCTGAGCTTCTTGCCCCAGCCATGAGTAGCTTTGAAGCATGCTTTCATCATCCCACACAGTTGACTCTACATGCATCTACTGTTGCATTGAGGTGCTCAGTGTTTCTGAACCGTGTTCTGCATTTCATGGCTGGTCTTCGGGATCCGCGACATCGCAGAATCCGGTGTGTTGTGATAACGCTGCATGCCGGTGACTCTGGAGCTTGGCGAGGGCTGATGCTTTCCACGTTCTCCGATTCACCGCTGCAGAGCCTCTCGTGTTTCTCTTGTAGATACAGGGATCAAGCGTGTCTATTGGGTAGTGTAGGAACCTGATTAAGAATCCTTGGGCCTATATTCGGGTTCCTTATATGAACCCTAATATATTGGGGATGATAGGGCCAGGGTTTCTTAATCAGGTTGCTGCATTAGCCCCTGTCTCGTGCAGGTCCTGTCGTTGTTGCGTTCCTACTTCCCGCAACCGACCAACAATCACACAGGCTGCACTCTTGAAGCCTGTTGCAGTGCAGGTAAGTCGTGGGAAAGCTCGTGCTCATCGTCGCCATCACCGTCACCACCACTGCTGTCATCGTTTTTGTTGTTCCTCGACTGGCGAATTGCCCTTCCGGTCTTCTTCTGTCGTTGACAAGAAAGCAAGAGGCTCATACATGCAAGCTTGTGCACTTCGAAGATATGATGTTGGCCGCCCGGTTCGAGCAGCGAAGATCGTGTCGTGCTAGGCTGCTTCCATTATTCGTCTGAGCTTCATGGCATCTTTCTGCCACTATGTAGTTTCAGCCAGGCTTGGGATGTTCTGCACTTGTCATCAACCTGCCGGTGCCTTCGTGGTCGTGCTTTGCCCCACCACTTCCTCCCATAACCGTGTAATCTTGAGGCATTCCGCTGCTTGTTTTTCAAAGGCGAGCAGGACAAAGTCTCAGTGACAGCCCGTCCATGTTCAAGAAGATTGGTCGGAGAGTCGCTTGGGGCTGAGGGCTTAGGGTTAGGATCCAGGTAGACGGGGGCACTTGGAGGCACTGTGCTCCACGCTGGAGCGGATGTGGCTTCTATGTCTCCGCTGTCGAAGCTGACCAATGCTGAAGCCGTTGGCCTGAAGAGCCTTCTGTCTCAAGCCGCCAAAACCCTAAACCCTAAACCCTTAACTCTACACCCTTGGAGCGGTCACGGGTTCGGGGCCTTCCTGAACTTTAGGATCCCAGTTGCACTTGGCGTCAGAGGCGCGCTGCAGGGCCTGGGATTCCGGGGCATAACGAGGCTGCCGTGATCTCCGCCTCTTTTCGCCGACTTGTGCCGCATAATGGATTGGAGACACCCTAAGCCCTAAACCGTGGAGACACGGACTCCTTGCCACAAAACGTTGGCCTAGGCCCGACGTGGAGTATCCGAGGTCCCTAAACCAGGGAAATAGAGATCCCGCATCTCGTCATTTCTTGTAAAGGTGCATTGGCTGCCCAGCACAACTTCGGGTGCTGCAGGAGTTCCCCCACATCCCTAGAAGCCTAGGAGCATTTCATCCCTGGGCCCTCTCTCGGTTTTGGCAGGGGGCAACGCGGACTCTTGTCCAGCGGCTCTTGTGTCTCTCTTGTCGGGATGCCCTCAACCCTAAACCCCCTAAACCCTAAACCCTAAACCCTTAATCGTTCAGCCCTGAGCCTCAAAGAACAACACTCCTACAAGCTTACGACTGCAGAGCCTTTGGAGGTTCGCAAGAAGCCGCCAAGCAAGGAATGGAAAGCTTGTAGAGCTGGTGTTCGCAATTGCACTGCGAAAATAGCCTGCAAGGGCACGTCCACTTCCTGATGTTGAGAGGTAACATTTTTGAGCTTTTGTCGGTGATCTTCGATTTGCCACGAATCGTGCGCGTAGCCCAGTGTGCAGCTATTGGTTTCGTCTTGAGACCGACGTCGTGTTGTGTCGGACTTCTTCGCAGACGAAGAGAGGCACACTTTCCTTCAGCGGGAGGGTTTGGGTCGGGTCTGCGATGAGGGCTTGCGCGAGTCGGTTGTGCCTAGGGCCCAGAGCTCGCTGCCCTGAGCTCTAACCCAAATATGGATCCTAAACCCAGCAGCCGTCCCTAAACCCTAAACCCTAAACCCTAAACCCCCTAAACCCTAAAGCCGTCCCTAAACCCAAAACCCTCCTATCAGAGGTTTCATTGAGGAACCGCTGGCTCCTCGACTTGTGAAGCTCGAAGCCTGCCACCTTCACGTCTCAAGCCCAGTGTAGACCCCCGATGAAGGAACTCCCTTTCTTCAAAAGGGCCTTGCACATCAGGATTCCCATGAGCAAGGGGGTTTGTTCATCAGGGGTCGACATTTGACGAAACACTGACGCAAATCCCGAAAGTAGGGCTCAGTTTCGGTGAGTCCTTTACATACCGGTGCTTAAAGGGGAGTGGGAGAGGAGATCCCCGTAAGAGTCCTTCTTTTGTCACTTCTCGTGGGTCTCGGCTTGCTCTGAGGGACCCTCTCGCCATGTGGTCGGAGCTCCGCCCCGGCTTCCTTTCTCGGGGTCCTTCGAAGGAGATCCTATGAGGAGTCCTAGTAACTAACCATTGATATTATGGGAGCTAAGGAGCCAGGGAGCTAAAGAGCCAAAGGAACCCCCAAAACCACTGGTTAGGTAAGGCTGCTTGTGGGACCTTCCATTTTGGGATCCTTTCGGGGGCCGATGCAGAGCCAAGACAGGAGTTACACGCACGATGTGGACTCCATCAAGTGCTTCAGCGGCATGGCCTTCTGCACGTTCGAGCACAGTCCTTCTCTGACATACGGAAGACATGCCTGGAAGATGAAGCGTTCGCGGCTCCGCACCCCGCCCACTCGAGGATTCCGACCTGCACGCAAAAGTGCTTGCCAAGAGAGTTCTGCAATAGAAACGGCTTGGGGGCCACTGTAGTTCTCGCTCACAAACTGTGGGACGTGGTGTTCTGATGTGATTTGCAGTTTGCAATTGCGGCCCAGGATGCATCAACTACGGGGGCACATGCAGGTACCCTTCGCATCTATCCGGCAGCATGGGTTTCTTCAGCTGAGAAAAGACCCCATGAGAAGACGCCAAATGGCAGAGGGCCGCGCCCAGCCTCGGCATTGCTGTGCTTCCTGGGTGTAGGGTCGAGTGGCGCCTGAAAACCCTCAAGCCAAGTGTGAGAGCTTGAGGTGTGACAAGAGATGTTGATGCCCACAATACTGAATGAACTGTTCAACTCAGTTCGGCTCACCGCGGATAATGAACGGCAGCAGATCGTGCTGCGGGAAGTGGTGAAGACATGGCTTTGCTGAAGTTTCGACGATACTCGCCGTAGCACTGCGAGTGTGCAAGAATAGGCCACCAGGTAAGCTCATTTCTCACGGCAAGCTCGCAGACTGTCGGTCCATCAAAGGTTTCGGCCTTAGAAGCCTTACAGTGTGAATTTCATACCCTAAACCGCCTAAACCCTTCACACTGCTGCAGCGAGAAACTGCTGCATAGTTCCCTGAAGAAGCATTCCGTGGATCACAGTCGTGAACCTCAACATGGGAGGATTAGTTAGTGGAATGCGGAGTCACTGAGCACGCCCCCAAGCTGCGAGCTGCATATCTCCTTCCACACTTCTCTGCTCACCTCACGACCAGCGTGCTTTGTGGGTGGTGATGCCCCTGCCGTTTGAATGCTGTTGTGAGTGGGTGGTGTCACATGCCACGTTATCTTAAGAAGCTAGACCCGCATCAATCCTTCAAACCCATACGCCGCCGAATCTCTGTAAAATCCTTTGGCGCCCAAGTTAGCAGGCCCTTTGCAGGAAGATCGAGATACTCTATCGGACAGAGCGCTTTCCTTCAGAGAAGGCCCCTGCCTGCCTGCGCTGCGCATAGAGAACTCAACAATTCGCAAGCCCGCGGTCGAAGTTGACAGAGTCTTTGTTGCCGTGTGCTTCACCAAAATTGAGGGTTTAGGGCTCAGGGGCCCAACTTGTGGCACGGGATCCGAGCGTCCGGGAAGCCCTTGCGTCGAGGCCGCTGCGCCCTGGAGATGCCGCCTGCTGGCCATCAGCGGTGCCAGGTTTGAAAGCTCTTTTCACAGCGACTCCTTCAATGAAATTGTGAAGCTGCTTGAAGGCAAAATCTCGTCCCTCTCTACCATGGACCTTTGATCTCCGCCGCCCTGTCCCCTGCCCATGGACCCTTGATCTTGAGCCGCGTCGGTGTGCCTCCGACAGAGGGGCTGAGGCTGTTGGCGTGGAGTTTTGGCGAACTCGTCGCTTCCTTCCTGGCCTTCTGCTCCGAGGTTTGCGGGCTAAGACTTGGCGGTGTCTGCTTGCTGGACCCACGAGGGCCGGGGTTCTGGGACAGGTTTCCCTCCTTTGAGGCCCTCTCCCACCGCGGGACCTCGATCCGCTGCCGCCCTCAAACCCCGGCTTTCATCTTCCAGGCTTCTCTCTGCGGCGTCCGTGCAGGCAAGGGCACATAGCCAAGCCTGGGGCGGGGGAACAGTACCGCCGTGCCTAGCCCAGCGCTGACGGCGCGGGAGGCGAGGGATCCCATGAGGTCGGTGGAGAGGGACGCGGTCATGAGAAAGAGGCGCAGCTTGATCTACGCGCAGATGGCTCTTCTTTGGATCCCCGCTGCTTGGCTCATTTCAGTGTAGTTTGGGGGTTTTAGGGCACAGACTGAGACTTCTTGTCTTCGAGGGGTTACATCGACCATCCCAGATCGTGGGTTTCAGAGTCCTTCTTTATCAGGACCAACAAAGCGCCCAAACATAAACTTTAAGATGGCATATGCCGACCTTTTTGCCTTGTTAATACGGACTTGTGGGATATCCCAACCTTATGGTTTGTGTTTAGTTCTTTTGGACTCCATATTTTCAGCTTTTTGGAGTGCATGTCCAAAGCTCAGGAGTCAGACCACTTTCAAATCGGTGTTCTGCACGCCTGGGATGTGGCGACCTACCTGCAAAGGGAGTGTGACTTTACTGCAGAAAGGATCACTAAACCCTAGACCCTAACTCTTAAGCCCTACACTCCTAAGCCTTCAAGTCGTGTCGTCAGTCGTTGCAGATAGGATCTGCTGCAGGAGGTGTGCGGGGCATGTTGCGCACACACCGTATCTAAAATCTTCCGGGTGCTTGTTAATCCGAATTAGTTTAAGGTTTGGGGTTTCACTCACCGAGCCACATGGGAGTATCCGAAAAGAGGGGACCCTTAATGTAATACCCTAAGTAGTAGGATCCTTATTGCAAAGGACCCCAAAATAAGGTACCCCTAATTTCCGGAAACTCCCACATCTCTCTTCCGGGTTCTGTTGCCAACAAACGTTTTGATGATGAGCAGGCAAAACCTTAAACTCTAAACCCGGAACCCCTACTTGGAGGCCCTTTTGACTTAGTAAGTAGGGTTAGTAAGGTGGGTTATGGGGATTATAATGGGGTTCCTAGGGGATACTAAGTAGACTTACTAAGTCAAAAGGGCCTCCAAGTAGGGTTCCTGTAAAGGAACCCCAAACCCGGAGCCCTCAGCCAAAAGTCAAAACTCCCTCACCCTAAGCGCAGGCTTCCTTCACGGACATTCCGCAGCCAGCGAGGCAAGGAGACAGACCAGGTGAAAAAGCCCGCAATATTGGGGCCTTAGTATCTAGAATACATTATACTATAGCCATATGTAACCTAAATGAGGAACCCCACAATAGTATTGGAATGAGGTGTGCAGTTTGGTGTTTCTGGTTGGCGAGCTTGCACCGCAACTAGGATCCCTGTTACTACTTGCCCCGATCCAAGTGAGGTAGATGCTATGTGCCTTGCAGAATTTTTTCACCCGAAACCTCAAGCAATGTCATGGGTCTATACAGGGGTCTATACAGGTGTTACCACGACTCGGAAATTGCAAGCAGAGGTTTCCTTACAACGACAAGGTCCCATCATGACACGCATGACAAGGTAGAGCCCATGTACGAGGACCCCTTCTCATATTCATCAATGAAGATAATGAGACTGTGGCACTGAGGTTTGATGGTTTCGAGCCCCTATATAGCGTCAAACCGTTATGGTCATCAAGTTCAAAGTGAGACCTTACCGAGACATAACCTGCTTTTTTGGTAGGGTCCCTGTAAGTATGGTAGCCCCCCAGTCTACTAGAAGCATGTGTGACCTTGTGGATTCCGTTCCCGGTGTCTTACAAACCATGGGCTTCTCTTGAACGTGCTGTGACTGGCGGAGTTCGTGCTTCAGTAGTTGCGGGTTTAGAGTTAGGGGGTGCTTGCATCCCTGAGCCATAAACCGCCTCCGCTTCTGCAGGCTTCTCAGCGTCATCCGTGTTGTGAGGAGGAGCCTGCATTTCGCAGACCCGTAGTACGCCCTCCAGAAAGACCCTGTGGCCCAGTGCACGGGTCAGAAGCCTAGATCGCTCCCGACAGGGGCAGTGGTCCTTCCTTCCTCACCTGGGGCGTACCTCTCCAGCTGCGAAAACTTCAAAAAGCCGAGCGAGATCGAGAGCAGGAGCAGTGATCAGCATGGGTCCATGGCTCACGGGTTGGGTGCCTTAGGCTTCGGCGGGCTCAATGCCGAAGTTGGGAGGACATCATGAAGGTGGATGTTGTGGCCCCTCGACAGCCGCTGCAGCATCAAGGCTCCATAAATCCAGGCATACCTGAGACTGCTCAGCGATGGACCTCATGGGCCTTGTAAAGCCAAAACCTCTAACTCTTGACCCTAAACGTTTGAATCCCAAGCTGTTCAGCCCTGACACCCCCCACCCTCAACTCAAAACCCTTAAGCTCCCTTTTTCGAATCCGGTGGGCTTCGTGATGGGCGCTCTTCGCAGCGGCCGCAAGTGGCTGGGCAGATCAGACCCGAAACTCTCCGCTTCCAAAGCTCGAAGCCAGACCTTCCAAGATCCCTTAATTAAGCAAATATCCCTTAATATTCATATTCGGGATCCTATTGTAATTTCTAAAGCCTAAACTCACAAGCAGAACGCGTAGGACGCAGGTCATAATCAGGGATTTCTGGATCCATAACGCGTTTGTAGCACCAGAAGCTTACTCTAACTGCCTATCCTCCTAAAGCTTCAAGCCTTGCACCCTTGTCAGACCACATAAACATCAGTTACTGTCCCACATACAGCTCTTGTCAAATCTCATAAGGCTCTTATCTGAAACTCTGCCAAGCCTCGAAAGCGAAGAAAGTCGCGCTAAGCGGGTTCGTTCCGGCCGGCGAGGGGTTATTGAAAAAGAGGGCTCAGGGTTCAGGGTTTAAGGTTTCGGGGCTAGGGTTTAGGGTTTAGGGTTCAGGGTTTAGGGTTTAGGGGCTAGGGTTTAATGAGCAGGCTCACTCCTTCAGCCGACTTCCGCAGGATTTGCGGAAAAAAGTCTGGAACAATATACAGGTAGGATAATGATGCTCGTTAGGATTCGCTATCATATTCAGAGTATAAGATGCCTCAAAAATCCTATCTTGATAATGCTCATTCCTCAGCCTCAGTCAGCCCCAATCTCGTGTTCTTAGAAGAGAACTCGACAGTTGCGTTTGCTCATGGGTCCTGGCCCAGAGAGGGAGACCTCAGTCCCAGACCTAGACCGTTCAGGTTTTAGGCTGGGATCTTGAAATCCCCAAAGCAAGCAAATTACATGGGAGTCTCCGAAAATAGGGGACCCCCCAAATAGTAGGATCCTTATTATAAGGGCCCCAAAATATGGTACCCCTAATTTGCGGAAACTCCCGTATGAAACAAAGGGAGAAAGTCGAAGATACCAGAACCATAGGGCCTTAAGCACTGTGCCAACAGCTTAGACCTAACCTTAACCCTGTAGGACCTACCTTTTTAAGGATTCATATAAGGAGATCATAAGAAGGACCTTAAAATGGTAGGTTATCCTTGCTTAAGGAAGATCTTACACCCGAACTCTAAACCCAACATCCTTGTAACCATACGTACTAAGTCCCTGATCCTCCAAGTGATGGTCTGGGTATCAAGTTCCTTTGAAGGAACCCTTAACGATCCCTCAAAGGAACCCTTGAAGCATTCCCTAAGGGTTACCTTTAAAGGGCTCCAAGCCAAAGCCATTCGCCAGGTGCTCCCCTGTAAACCCTAAACCCTAAACCCAAAGCCCTAAACCAAACCCAACCTTAAACCCTAAACCCCAAAACTCTGAACCCAACCCAACCCTGAACCCTAAACTCTAAACCGAAGTAGATCCCTTGGGGGGCTCCTATCAAGTACCCTTCAGAGGTTTAGGCTCCTAAATTTCGGGGTCTCAAGATCCTTTAGGGGTCCCAACCCAACCCTAAACCCTAAACCCTAAACCCTAAACCCTAAACCCTAAACCCCAAGCAAAGTCATTCGCCAGGTGCTCCTGAGGCCCTACGGAAGGGTCAGCTCACGATGGCTGCTGGCGCTCTGCAGCTCACGGCTGTCCAGGGGCAGGAGCACCGGTTTTGGGTTTAGGGCTTTGGGTTTAGGGTTTGGGGTTTAGGGCTTTGGGTTTAGGGCTTTGGGTTTAGGGTTTGGGGTTTAGGGCTTTGGGTTTAGGGTTTGGGGTTTAGGGCTTTGGGTTTAGGGTTTGGGGTTTAGGGCTTAGGGTTCAGGGTTTGGGATTTAGGGTGTGGGGTTTTCGTGTGACTTTAAGCTTTTCGCTTCAAACTCTAACCTCAACCCTTTATGCTACTTGGAGGCCCTTTTGACTTAGTAGGTAGGGTTAGTAAGGTGGGTTATGGGGATTATAATGGGGTTCCTAGGGGATACTAAGTAGACTTACTAAGTCAAAAGGGCCTCCAAGTAACCCCAAAACCCTAAACCCTATAGATCCCTTTAAGGAACCCCTCTAGATCCCTTTTAGGACCCCTTTAAAGGAACCCCTACTTACTACACCCCAGTCTCCATCTGCGCGGCAACTGTGACCGCAAGGCCAGCGGAACCGAAACCCAAAGTCCCAAAAGGTAATTCCTAAATGGGGGGTTTCCGAAAATTAGGGGTACCTTATTCTGGGGTCCTTATATTAGGGACCCTACTATTTAGGGTACTATATTAGGGACCCCTATTTTCGGAAACTCCTAAAACTCAATTGATCTGGCGTAAACATGACAAGGTGAATGTCCCACCACGGTTTGGGTTTTGGGTTTTTGTTTTGAGTCTCGGAGTTGGTGTGCAGGGTTAGGCATGCAAGCCTTTCAAACGACAAAACGCAAGAGCAGCAGTGTTCTCGTTGAAGAAACCGATTTCACATTCTGCGGAAGGCCGCAAATTCATACCAGGTTTTAGGGCCTAGGATGTTTGGCACTTAAGTGCCGCAAGGTTCCGGGGGCTTTAAAGCTCTGGGGAAAGTTTGGGGGATTCTGGTGCTTCCGGGTTTTAGCCTTTGCCTTAAGGTGCATGGCATGCCCGGGCTCAGAACTTCCGCCGAGAGCGATAGAGTCTTGCAGCTTGGGCGCGACTGTACTTGGAGGATCATGGGACTTAGTAAGTAGGGTTATAAGTGCCTTAATTGGGGTTATAAGTACTTATAAATACAGTTACCCTATTCATAACCCCACTTACGAAGTCCTATGATCCTTTAAGTAGGGGTCTGTATAACTCGTAGTATCATCCCTTAGGTGTCCCTACTATAATTTCTACTCTCATATGTAGTGGTCGGAATGAATAATGATATTACTTGCCCTTGGTGCTTACTATGACACTTAGATCATCTACCCCAAAAAATCCTTCTTGCTCACAATCGAGTCATGAAGGCCGCGATACTGCATGACTATAGCCGCAGATGTTGCGCATTCGCTCCGTGTCGGGAGAGGTCCTTGTCACGATTGAGTTGGCGAGTTTTCTGGAAACGCTTGCTACAGGGAGTGATCCCGTCCGGGCACTGAAGCAACACTTGCACAGCTTCTGCGGGCAGTCGAGATTCAGACAGCGACTGGTGTTCTTAGCCGACGGTGTGTCTCGTGCGGAAGATGACTGCATCTTGAGACCGGGCGATGCGCAGCTCGTGCTTTTAAAGTTCAGCTCAACATCTGAAGAGCAAGTCCAAGAGCTTCGGCGTGCTGCAGCAAGTGGTCTGACATCAGTGGTAGAGACAATTCTGCAGAAGCCACAAGACCCAGATCTGGGCCATCCAGGCCCCCAGAGACTCCAATATCCCTTAATCAAGGAATATTCCCTAAGTCATATTAGGGATCCGATTATAGTTTAAGGTGTATATTCCCTAATTAAGGGATATTGGAGTCTCCAGGCCATCCGGTCCCATTGCTCATCGCCTCCGCGCACGGCCACTTGGAAATCGCACGCCTCCTGCTGGAGGCAAAGGCTGACAAGGACAAGGCGATGGATGACGGCACCACCCCCTTGTTCCTTTGTCATAGTTGGGTGTCATTTTACATGTTTATGGGTACTTAAACCCAATAAGGAATAAACATGTACATATTTAGTCCTAGCCCAACTATGAACTAGGTTCGTTGCAGCTCAGAACGAGCAGTTGGAGGTTGTGCGCTTATTATTGGAATCCAGAGCAGACATGAACAAGGCTATCGATGATGGCACCACCCCTTTGTTCATCGCAGCTGGAAGTGGGCAGACCGAAATTGCACGTGTTTTGCTGGAGGCCAAGGCTGACAAGGACAAGGCTTGCATTGATGGTGCCACTGCTCTCTATATCGCGGCTCAGAACGGGGAGTTGGAAGGTGTCCGTCTTCTGCTGGAGGCCAAGGCGGACAAGGACAAGGCCTTGGCCTTCGTCGCAACCCCGTTGCTCGTAGCAGGTCAGCTGGGGTATTTGGAGGTTGCACGTCTTCTGCCGTTGGCGAATGTGTACATGGACAAAGCCATGCGTGATGGCACCAGCCCCTTGTTGGTTGCAGCTCAGAATGGACAGTTGGAGGTTGTGCGCCTATTGCTGGAGGCCAAGGCTGACAAGGACAAGGCCACGACTCACATAGGGGCCACGCCCCTTTACGTTTCAGCTCAGCAGGGGCAGTTGGAGGTTGCACACCTCTTGCTGGAAGCCGCGGCTGACGTGGACAAGGTGCTGATCGTTGATGGTGCCAGCCCTCTGCACGTTGCAGCTCGGCAAGGGCGGTGGGAGGTAGCAAGGCGGTTGCTGGAGGCCAATGCTGACAAAGACAAGGCGATGCATGACGGCACCACCCCTCTGGGCATTGCAGCTCGGAATGGGCAGTTGGAGGTTGTGCGCCTTTTGATCCATGCGAAGGCTGACAAGGACAAGACCGCAAACAACCGCGCAACCCCCTTGTTTGCGGCGATACAGAGAGGGCAGGTCGAGGTTGCGAGGCTTTTGGTAGAGGCCGAGACTGACAATGAAAAGGACCCGAACTTGGCTGCCACCCGTTTGCATGTTGCCGGCTGCACGGACGGTTGCATCGCAGCTTGCAGGGGCATATGGATGCTTCTTGCATCTTGTTGGAGGCCAAGGTGGAAAACGAGAACCGGATAATCAGCTGCTACACTACCGTGGGTATGGTAGCTCAGGAAGGGCACTTGGAGGTTGTGCCAGCCAGGACTAATATGCTACGACCTCATGCGATACATCCTACGTCGAACAAAGTTGCAGGTGTGTTGCTCGCAACACACAGCACTCAGCGAGACATCAAAAGTTGGACGTTATCCTACCCGAACCCGCAGGAACGGTGCCGATTCACTAAACGTCCAAACGCCGGCATGTGCAAGTGTTCTGGGCCGGAAATGCTCAAGAACCAAAGCCCAAAACCTTCAGAACCCCAGAGCCTTAGGGTTAGGGTTTAGGGTTTAGGGTCCCTAAGCCTGCGAGCTGCAGCCCTGTGGTACAAGCCCAGAGCCGTCCAAGTTGGTTCCTTCTGGAGAAGGAGCCCCTCACCAAGGTTCCAGAATCTGATCATTCTTCTGGTCATTCCCTAGGGATCTAAGGACTCATATATGAAGGCTTTTGGGCCCAAAAGACCATACTAAATAAGGCTTTTGGGCTATCTTGATCCCTAGAAATTGGAGTGGTCATGCTTATGCGAACCTGAGAATTAACACAGAAGCCATCAAGAACGACAGTGCAGTGTCGAGGTCGACCCTACAGCCCTCAACTCTCAACGCTAAAGCTACAATCCTTACTCGGAGGTGTTGCGGGTCCAGGTGCACAAACCCTGAACAGACCCCAACCAAACTCGAAATCTTCAGCGCAACGGATTACAGTAGGAGTCCGGGTGTCAATAGCCTCAATCCTTGAGAGTAATGTATAGGGAATCCCAGCACTATTTGGCCTTAACCTGGTTTCCAACTTTATGGGGCTTACCATAGGACTATTTTGGGGGTTCCTATTTTATTTATAGCAAAATATATCCCAAAATCCTATTGTAATTATTTAGGCCCGTATATTACAACTGTATGGGGTTTACTGCAGGGGCTTCGGTGTTAGAGACAAGCAAGTGGGAGCCTCTGACTCTGAACCCAACAGCTCAATAGTAATACGACCGAACTCACAGAGCCCAATATCTTTTGGTTAAGAATATACGTTAGGTTCTGGCGGGCTGCACCCTCAACCCTAAATATTATGATTCGACCCTAAACCCTAAACCCTAAATCCTAAACCCTAAACCCTACAACTAACTCGGCTGGGAAGGAGACCAACACGCTGGCCCTGAATGACTGCGACCTGCAGATGCCTCGGAGCCCCGAGGACGTCAGTTTGGTTAAGGGTTTCAGTTGGTTTAAGGGTAAAAGAAGGGACCCTTAATAAGGAGCCCTACCCTATAATGGGTTATATAATGGGTATATAATAGTTATATTAAGGGTATCTCCCTTGGGGTCCGTATTAAGGGTCCCTCCTTTTCCCGTTGGAGTTGAGGGTTCAGGATTTAGCGCCTGATAGAATACAAAATAAGACAACATACATATTTTTGTACATGTTCATAGGAGAGTGTAGGGGTTAGGGTCGAGGGTAGAGGGTGAGAACCAACAGTTCAAGTTTGGGCTTGCGGGCTTAGGCTTAAGGGAGCTTTCTCTTTCAGTTTAGGACTCTCGCTTTTTTAGCTTTTTCGGTTGCCAAGAACCGGTTTATTCCTTGTTTATGTTGCTGAGGCTGAAGGACCTCATCTAAAATTCAAGCCAGCAGGCTGTTTCGTAGTTGAGAGCCCGAACGTTCATCAGGCCACCTAAACCTAAACCCTAAGCTCTAAACCGTTGATATGTCTGCGGAGAGAGCCCAAGACTTTGTAATTAAGAAATGTGCCGTTATGGGTCTTCGTGTCCTGATTCAAGGTACATTCATTGTTTTAGGTGTGTAAATTTGGCGTTCTTCTGGTTGACTCTTAGGACTTTAACTTTTGATTTTCTATATGAACTCTAATAAGGAGGCAAAAAGTTTAACTTTTTGGAGGGCTTCAGAAGTCTTTGTAGTAAAACATTGGACCCAACCTTAAACCCTAAACCTTACTTCCGAGGGTATGGGACTGTCTGGGTGGTGGAGAAGGCTGATTTTATGTTTTCGACTGCCGGGTCTTGGTGTTCAGATCTGCATTATAGGGTTTATAGGTTTTTTTTGGGCTTATCGGGCCCTGTAGGGCTTATAGGGCTTATAGGGTTTATAGGGTTAAGGGTTGTTTAGGATTCCGGTTTGTTTAGGGCACGGACGGTGGCCTGGTCGGGGGTTGATTTTTCAGGGGTCCTTTTTGGATCCTGTCTCGTTCTGTAGGGGAGTTTCCTGAAATTAGGGGTACCTTATTCTGGGGTCCTGATAATACGGCTCCCACTATTTGGGTGCTAATTTGGGTCCCCTACTTTCGGAAACTCCCAACAAGGGTTGAGAATGTTCTATCAAGGTCTGCAAGGGTTCTGGAAGGCTTCTGGATTTTCGGGTTCACCCTACACCCGAAGCCCGAAGCCTTGCGTCCAAACACGAAGGGGGCATCGACGAGTGAAGATTTCACATTTTCTCATCCTTCCTGCTTCAAGTGGGTTTAGGGTCTAGGGTCGAGGATTTAAGCTCAGGGTTTAGAATTTGGGGTTTAAGGTTTAGATGTACCGTCATATGCTTGAGCATCGGCCTCTTATTGCCATGTTCCTTTTTCCTGTAATGAAGTCATTAGTGTCTGCCGCTTTAGCATGATCGTTGCCATTACAACTTGCATTTGTCCTCTTAAATTCTGTACACCCTAAAGCCGCAAGCCATACAACCCGCACAGCAGAGGCGAGGTTGCCACGGACTCTCTAAATCCTTGGAGGTTTGAAGCACTAAGGCTTAGGGTGTAGGGTACCTAAGATCTTAACCCCCCAAACAGGTTTGACCCCTCATCCGTTCCAAAAAACACCTCAAGACTCAAATCCCTGAAGCCCAGGAGCCCGACCCCAAAAACACCGAAACCCCCCAACGTGCTGAAACCCGAAGCGTTAAAACCCACCCGAAAGGAACCAATGATAACAATCTTGGAATCGCTAGAACTGCAAGCTAGTGCTCAATCCTAAACCTGAATAGCTCCCTGCAGCCCCAATGCTTAACGCCGAAACCCCCAAAGCCGAAAACCTGAACCTTAAGCACTAGAGGAACACTAGAAAATCATCCGGTACATCCGTTGGGAGGAGTCCCTCACGCCATAGAAACATCAGAAAAGTACGTGTGGAGGAGGCGTGGGTCTTCCCGCAGCTTCTGGTGGACTGCATCGCCAGGCTGTTTGCTGAGGGCTTGCCAGGGCTTAGGATTTAAAGGTTCTACTTGGAGGCCCTGTTGACTTAGTAAGTCTACTTAGTATCCCCTAGAAACCCTATTATAATCCCCATAACCCACCTTACTAACCCTACTTACTAAGTCAAAAGGGCCTCCAAGTAACCCCTAAACCCTAAACCCTATAGATCCCTTTAAGGAACCCCTATAGATCCCTTTTTGGACCCCTTTAAAGGAACCCCTAACCTTACTAAGTCAAAAGGGCCCCCAAGTATAGGGCTTATAGGGTCTTCGGGTTTGGGAGTTCTGGGGCTTTCGGAGTCTAGCACTTGCTTCCCGGACCATAGGTTAGAAGTAATAGTGACCATAAGGATTATAGAGGATTCTATTAGGGCCCTACTATATTCCTATTATACCACTATTACAGGGTAGGGGCAGCTTCTAAACCATAGGTCAGGGTCACGGATTGTTTCTCGAAGCGTAGGTCGGCATAGGTCCCATGAAAGCGGCAAGCAGAAAGGGCTTGCGGTGTTTAGGGTTTCGGGAGCGAGGGTTCACACAAGGGGGGGGGGGGAGGATCCCCAAAGGCGACTTAGTGCAAGACGCCCTATCAACCTAAACCCTAAACTAAAGACTCTGTAGACCCACCTGATTAAGAGACCTTGGGCCTTTATTAGGGTTCCTTATATGAATCCTACTATTTTGAGGTTATAGGCCCAGGGTTTCTTAATCTTAATCAGGTTCCTACATTACTATAATACCCTTATAGATCCCTTATAGTAACCCTTATAGACCCCTTTCAAGGAACCCTTATAGGCCCAGGGTTTCTTAATCAGGTTCCTACATTACCTGAGTCAGAGCCTAGATCCCAGGCTCCAAACTTTATTGGGGCTCGGGGTTGATCCGCTTTGCCTGGATTGCTATAAGGGTTCCTTTAAAGGGGTCTATAAGGGTTACTATAAGGGATCTATAAGGGTAGTAATGTATGAACCTGATTAAGATTAAGACTCTCTGCTTTTGGGTGGAATTGAGCTGTGAAGCGTTTGATACTTGTCGACTGGAGGTGATGTGGGTTGCATCGACTCTTAGCCACATCACTCTGTTGTGCTCGATTGCCATTGGACTTTGGACTTCTGGACTTGCGTGTGCACGATCGTTTGGTGACAAGGTTTCCGGTCTGTTGTTGGACGCGACTAGAACGGCAGTCGGAGCTCTTGGGTTGGAGCTTTTGGCTTAGGAGTTTAGGGTTCAGGGTTTCAGGTTTAGGGGGGCTCGGGTTTAGGGTTTAGGGGTTTGGAGTTTAGGGCTTAGGGTTTTGGCTTACAGTAGAAGCCCCAAGAGTTGGAAACCGAACAGCCTTAAATCGTTAAGAATAATGTATAGGGAATCGCAGCACTATTTGCCCTTGATCCGGTTTCCAGCTTTATGGGGTTTACTGTAGGAGTGCGGGCTTTTGCTTTTGTGACTTTGGGCCTGGAGCATTCCAGTCTAGTTTAGGGGCCGTAATAATCTGAATAGTGTTTTTGGATATGCTCTACGTTAATTCAAAAAAAGGAATACTGTTACCATTTAGGCTTCTGTATTAGGCTCGAGGCTGTTGGTCTTTTGATGCTAGGGGTTGGATATATTTCCCATGTGGGGGCAGATCCTAGGCCCGAGGCGCTAAACCCAAACCTTCATGGCGTGTTGGGTACGCCCCCACTCAGTAACAGTTGGATAGTATTCAGATTATAGGATCCTTAAGGGGGGGTGGTTCAAGGGGGGAGGGTACTAGGGAGCTTTGGGGAACCTTAGGGAAGCTTAGGGAGTAT